AGGTTATCGAGGGCCAGATGACGATGATGTACGAGACGTCAAATAAGCAATAATTAGTGACAGTGTACCAGAATAATTAGTGAGTGTACCAGGATAATTAGTGAGTGTACCAGGATAATTAGTGACAGTGTACCAGGATAATTAGTGAGTGTACCAGGATAATTAGTGACAGTGTACCAGGATAAATAGTGACAAACAGTGTACCAGAATAATTAGTGACAAACGGTGTACCAGGATAATTAGTGACAGTGTACCAGGATAAATAGTGGCAAACGGTGTACCAGGATAATTAGGGGAATAAACAGCCTATTATTATTCTTATACTGACACACACACGTACAAGACGCAGTGAAGTTATGTAAAATAATGGCAAGTTGGATTAAGCCATAAATCTCAGTGAAAATTCTGATAAATACCCCAAGGCGCTGAGGCATGAATGTTTAAGTAGGAGAATGTCCGCCCAAAGAGGGTAGAGCTTCTTGGTACGTGAGGAAATGTGACATATAAATGGAATTCTGGCAACACACGTAACACAATTTTTTGAGAAGACTTTGAAAATTAAAAAAAAAAAAAATTGATCGAGTTGAAAAAGTGAACATTGAATATTGAATTACATACGTTATTATAACATTGATTTGGATTTTACCCAACATATAATATTAATTCGTCTGGTCATCATGTTCCTCGCTCCAAAACACACAGACGGACATAATATTCCCAAGTCCCATATACTGTAATGTTAAATCACTCCTAAACACACGGACAGACTCAGGGACGGACGCACACAAGAACAAACTTTAACAATCCCAAATCCAACACCATCCTAGACAATGGTGTAAACAAAAGGTAATGGCTAGACCAATATGAAGACAATCCATCCAATACATAAGTAAATTTGCTGATGACACTAAAATAGGACGTGTTATCAAATCTGACGAGGACTCGGCAAAACTACAGGAAGATCTAAACAAATTTTTCGAATGGTCTGAAAAATGGCAGATGAAATTCAACGTCGACAAATGTAAAGTACTCAGTATAGGAGATGTAAACAGGGAAACCAGATACCAGATGAACAACGATGCCATAGAGAAATCCGACTGCGAGAGAGATTTAGAGTAATGATAAGTAGGAACCTTAAGCCAAGTAAACAATGTGTTTTTGCTCGTAACAAGGCTAATAAAGTACTTGGGTTCATACAAAGGAGTGTTAGTTACAAGACTAGCGAGGTCATCCTAAAACTGTATCTTGTTCTTGTGAGACCACACCTGGATTACGCAGTTCAGTTCTGGTCACCGTATTACAGAATGGATATAGAATCCTTGGAAAGAATTCAGAGGAGAATGACAAGACTAATCCCGGGCATTAGGAACCTTGAGTATAGAGACAGGTTAAAGCATCTTAATTTGCACTCCCTTGAGAGACGTAGAGCGAGGGGCGACCTGATAGAGGTGTATAAGTGGAAGGCAGGGGCTAAACAAAGGGGTCATTACAAAGGTACTCAAATTATCCAACCAGGAGCAAACTCGTAACAATGGTTTTAAATTAGACAAATTTAGATTTAGGCGTGAAATAGGTAAACACTGGTTTGGAAACAGAGTAGTGGATGAATGGAACAAGTTACCAAATATCATCATTAACTCGAGTACGCTGAATTGCTTCAAACATAGGTTGGATGCTCATATGAGCAATAGGGGTTGGGTGTAAACGGGACTGCCCAGTATGGGCCAATAGGCCCGCTGCAGTTTCCTCCATTCTTATGTTCTTATGTTCTTATTATACAGTAGCTTCAAGACCACTACACGGACCGCCTGGATAGTAATAGATGTTGCTAGTCAAGATAGACGTGTAAATCCCGCCTCCTCTTCCATCAATGATTTAATTCAATAACATCTGGGAGCCAGTCCTTGGTCAGCTCGGGAACCCCTACATCTTCCACCACCATGAGTTATAGAAGCCATTAACTTCAGATGATCCATTACATATAACCGCGAGAACGACCGCCTGGACCAATAACTGTGACGTGATACCAAATGGAACAAGGCAATGGTTCGGTGATATATCTCAAGTGAGCCACAAGTTTATAAATCATTGTGTACTTAATGAGGATAATTTGGGGAATAATGTCCTTTATCGCGGGGTAAACGGGTAAAGAGCCTTAACTAACACCCGTGTAAGGAGAGTATACACTAATTCGTAAAAAAAAAAAAAAAAAAATACGAATGAAGTTGAAATGTTACAATATCTTAAAGATTTTCAGGATATCAAACTTTTTAGACAGGTTATGTGAACAGCAGCAACACGCTCCCAAGGAATAAAACCCAATAAAACTTTAAAAAACAATTGAGGAAAAGCGACTTAGCGTCTCCTTGTGTCATGGCCCATTGTCTGACGAGAGAGAACGTGGGAGAGACGTGCTGTCAATATTAAGGTAATCCACGGGTGACGGTCACTCAATACTCTGCGGTCACTCAGTACTATGTTCCTCTTCTGGTAAACAAAGAATCCATGACCTTGAATTATGCTTCGTTTATTTCACGGGAAAATCCTTGATATATATTTTAAGTTTCTATTTCTAATGTTTTTGTTTTAAAGTAGAAACTGATCTTGTTTTCATTGCTTACAACACCTCAGGCATTAAGTCACATTAATACATCATAACAATACTCTTTAATACATCTAGTAAATTATATCATCTCATAATTACCATTTTTATGATTTTTTACGTTGCCTTTGTGTTATTCACCTGTTGGTAGTCTATATCTATCCGTCTGTCAGTCAGTTAGTTTCAATAGTGTGCTAATTGTGGTAACTTGTTGGTGACAGTGATCCCCTTGGTAATGTCTGTTTACATGTCAGTCTATCAATGCCTGTTTTAAGGTGATTTTTCTCTTCATGTGAGCGAGTGAGTGTGTAAAAAAAACCACGAGAGTATTGTACAACCTGTATATAGTCAGCGAAAGGTAAAGCCACAGGTATCAATTTACACCCCTTTACATTCGACAATTTTATTCTGGGAACTCGCTAATTAACACCGATAAACAACAACGATAAAAAAAACTAATTAAAACCCGAGTATCATTTTACACTTTCACACCACACAAGTTTATTATTAAGAAATACTTTTCCAAAATTGTTCTCAAGATTCTTTGGAGGATTTGTGGCCGACTAGACTCGTCCTGTCCTCCTGAGTATATGGGAGGAGGACAGATGGGAGGAGGACAGATGAGAGGAGACAGTAGAGGAAAAAAACTTAAGGAATGAGAAAGGGAGAAGTGTGAATGGGCAGAGGAGAATGGGAAGGAAATCTGTTAGGCGAATGACGGAAGGAGGAATAGGTATGTGTGGGTGTGGGTGTGTGTGTGTGTGTGTGTGTGTCAGAGAGAGAGAAAGATAAGGTAAGGGGAGAAACGTAGTGTAGGGCAAGTAGGTAGGGAAAGAAAAGGTGAGGTGAGGTGGATAAGAGAGGTGATGTACCGCGGAAGGGAAGAATTACACAACCCATTAAATGGTGTCTATTATTTACTTGTTTAAAATATGCTTGTTTATCAGTCATTGTAATTTTTTTTTATCAGCCATTGTATTTTTTCCTTTTTCGTCAGTCATTATATTTTTTCCCCTTTCTTTTATCAGTTATTGCATTTTGTCCCTATTCTTTTTATCAATAATTTTATTTTTTTCCCTTTTTCATTTTCTTAACAATTTCTTTCACCTCTTCCCTCACCATTCCTCGCTGCTCTCACGGAACATACGATTAACGTTTGTTTTCCAACTTATCATAACAAGAAGGCGCAAAAGTTTTCGATGATTTTTTTTTCAAGAACTCAACTCGAAAATTAGGGCTAGTTATTTTTTTTGTTTCAACGAGAATTTCATCCATAAGGAAACGAAAAAAAATTATAAACTATTTTTTTTAGATATTTAAATGACGTATTATCAATCAAGAACAGTAATAAGATATGTCAGGTGGAAAAACGACTCGCTGATAGTTTAATGTACCAGCTGGGTTAGGTTAGATTGAATCTGGGTTAGGTTAGATAGCAGCTGGGTTACGTTAGATAGCAGCTGGGTTAGGTTAGAATGAAGCTGGGTTAGATTAGATAGCAGCTGGGTTACGTTAGATAGCAGCTGGGTTAAGTTAGATTGCAGCTGGGTTAGGTGAGATTGCAGCTGGGTTAGGTTAGATTGCAGCTGGGTTAGGTTAGATTGCAGCTGGGTTGGGTTAGATTGCAGCTGGGTTAGGTAGATTGCAGCTGGGTTAGGTTAGATTGCAGCTGGGTTGGGTTAGATTGCGTTAGACTGCAGCTGGGTTACGTTAGATTGCAGCTGGGTTACGTTAGATTGCAGCTGGGTTACGTTAGATTGCAGCTGGGTTACGTTAGATTGCAACTGGGTTACGTTAGATTGCAGCTGGGTTACGTTAGATTGCAGCTGGGTTACGTTAGATTGCAGCTGGGTTACGTTAGATTGCAGCTGGGTTACGTTAGATTGCAACTGGGTTACGTTAGATTGCAGCTGGGTTACGTTAGATTGCAGCTGGGTTACGTTAGATTGCAGCTGGGTTACGTTAGATTGCAGCTGGGTTACGTTAGATTGCAACTGGGTTACGTTAGATTGCAGCTGGGTTACGTTAGATTGCAGCTGGGTTACGTTAGATTGCAGCTGGGTTACGTTAGATTGCAGCTGGGTTACGTTAGATTGCAACTGGGTTACGTTAGATTGCAGCTGGGTTACGTTAGATTGCAGCTGGGTTACGTTAGATTGCAGCTGGGTTACGTTAGATTGCAGCTGGGTTACGTTAGATTGGGTTACGTTACTGATTGCACGTTAGATTGCAGGGTTACGTTAGATTGCAGCTGGGTTACGTTAGATTGCAGCTGGGTTACGTTAGATTGCAGCTGGGTTACGTTAGATTGCAGCTGGGTTACGTTAGACTGCAGCTGGGTTAGGTTAGGTTACGAGTGTTAACACCTACTATAAGAGTACCGTGTGTGTGCCAACAGTGTCCCCGCGGGTGGTGGTGGTGCCTATACTCTCCTGCATCATCGGCTTTCCTGTGTTGGTGATGCTGGTCATCTGTGGCCTCAGGTACCGCGCCAAACGAGCTCGGACCTCAGCCAAGAAAGCACACAAGTAAGTGATGCTCTTCCTTGTAATATCTACCTGTCTGTCTGTCTGTTTGTCTACCTGTCTGTCTGTCTGTCTGTCTACTAAATGACTTTTATTATGTGTCTTGTTTTCTTTTAAATGCGCCTATATTTTATTTCCTTGCTGACTGCAGTTCAATCTGTATATCTGTTTGTTTAATGATATTTAAGCTGGCTACCCACCTGTGCCTCTCTACCTGGACACTATACACCTGTCTCTCTCTACCTGGACGCCATCGCTATACACCTGTGCCTCTCTACCTGGTCGCCATACACCTGTCTCTCTCTACCTGGTCGCTATACACCTGTGCCTCTCTACCTGGACGCTTTACACCTGTCTCTCTCTACCTGGACGCTATACACCTGTGCCTCTCTACCTGGTCGCCATACACCTGTCTCTCTCTACCTGGTCGCTATACACCTGTGCCTCTCTACCTGGTCGCCATAAACCTGTGCCTCTCACCTGGTCAGAACCTGTGCCTCTACCTGGTCACACACCTGTGCTCTCACCCGGACGCCATACACCTGCCTCTCACCTGACGCTTTACACCTGTGCCTTCACCTGGTCGCTATACACCTGTGCCTCTACCTGGTCGCTATACACCTGTGCCTCTACCTGGTCGCTATACACCTGTGCCTCTTTACCTGACGCCATACACCTGTGCCTCTACCCGGTCGCTATAATAATCTGTGCCTCTCTACCGTCAGTTATAAACCTGTGCTCTCTACTCCGGACGCTATACACCCTGTCTCTCTCTCTCACCTGTTCGCTATAACACCTGTGCCTCTCTACCCGGACGCTACACACCCGTCTCTACCCGTTCGCCACACCTGTGCCTCTCACCGTTCGCTATACACCCAGCTCTCTCACCGACGCTATACACCAGTGCCTTCGCCTGGTCGCTATACACCCGTGCCCCCACCCTGGTCGCTACCCACCTGTGCTCTTCACCTGGACACTACACCTGTCTCACCTTTGTCGCTATAATAATCGTGCCTCTCACCTGACGCTATACACCTGTGCTCTCACCTGGACGCTATACACCTGTGCCTCTCTACCTGGTCGCTATACACCTGTCTCTCTCTACCTGTTCGCTATACACATGTGCCTCTCTACCTAGTCGCTATACACCTGTGCCTCTCTACCTAGTCGCTATACACCTGTGCCTCTCTACCTGGTCGCTATACACCTGTCTCTCTCTCTACCTGTTCGCTATACACCTGTGCCTCTCTACCTAGTCGCTATACACCTGTGCCTCTCTACCTGTTACACCTGTGCCATGGTCGCTATACACCTGTCTCTCTCTACCTGTTCGCTATACACATGTGCCTCTCTACCTAGTCGCTATACACCTGTGCCTCTCTACCTAGTCGCTATACACCTGTGCCTCTCTACCTGGTCGCTATACACCTGTCTCTCTCTCTACCTGTTCGCTATACACCTGTGCCTCTCTACCTGGTCGCTATACACCTGTCTCTCTCTCTACCTGTTCGCTATACACCTGTGCCTCTCTACCTAGTCGCTATACACCTGTGCCTCTCTACCTGGACGCTATACACCTGTCTCTCTCTCTACCTGTTCGCTATACACCTGTGCCTCTCTACCTGGTCGTCTATTTGACAATTTACTGGCCCTTTTCGAAAGCTTTTGTATTTGCTTGTCCATCTCTTATGTCTGGCTATTTACATATATAAGAATGTCGTTTCTATTTATAAATGCGCATTGTATATTTTAAACCTCTCAGCTCGTCCACCTCTGTTGTTTGTGTTTGTGTCTTTAATTAACTTCTATTACTATCTGATTTATTTAACTAGTTAGGGATACAAGATGGGTGAGAAGGAAGGTGGGTAGAGGAGAACGTAGTGAGGGGCAAGTAGGTGAGGTGAGGTGTTTTGCATTGAACTATAACCGACCAAAATTTACCTATGTCATTACTCAGTTTTGGTAATGTTTTTGTGTATCAATACGATCATTAACCTCTCTGCTGACTTCATCTTGCAAGGTACAGGAAAAACTCTTCAATCGGGAAATAAACAAATAACTTGGAAATGAAGTCATATATGCCAAGAGTAAAGTCAATATATAAGCTGTGGTGTTTGCCAGGTGGTTGGTAATTAGTGTTGCATATTAATTAAGTGGCTTTAAGTAAATGAATTTCTAAGTTAAGTATGTAGTGTTGGTAGAGCACACACACACACACACACACACACACACACACACACACACACACACACACACACACACTATTAAGACTATTCAACACACCTACACTCAACTCCTTAGTAAAATCACCTATACAGAACAAGTACAGTAGTTGATATATCCACGACAAATGTAACCACAGATCAGCTGTTCAGGTTCATCCCACGTCATTGATGTTTCCGGACTTATTCTGCCTTAACATCTGTCCATTGGCGTTTAACTGGTCTGGACAATACCCAAACAGTCCAACTAAGACCAAAACCAATTACAAAATTCCCTAATTTAAGAGATTTTACTCTTTTATAAAGTTCATAAAGAGACATCACCTACTCACCAGTTTATTTATTTCATTTTTCGTCATTTTTTTTTTTCGGGAAGTGATATAGTCTTCTCATTTTCACACAGATGACTGAATATTCTCGCTGGTTAGACAATCACGCTAACCAACTGTACTTATATTAATATCGTCATTATTTTTGTTTTTTCAGTTGTGTTTGTATACCTGTATGAGTCTCTGATAACCTCTCTCTCTCTCTCTCTCTCTCTCTCTCTCTCTCTCTCTCTCTCCTCCATACATCCCAGACCCAATATAAAATGACATTCCATACCCCAGCTAACTCCAGATTGTCCCTCAACAGCGTGGAGTCATCAATCATGGAGCTGTCGTCAGGACCCTCCATTCTGGCCAGCCGCTGCAGTAATGGTGAGTACACACACACACACACACACACACACACACACACACACACACACACACACACACACACACACACACACACACAGAGAAAATATATATCTGTCGCATCGTTGATTTGAATCGTTGCATATTTATGACCAAACAACAATCCTCTCAAGACATGTTCCTCGGTTCAGTCATCAGGACGGACAGAGAGACTCAATAAATATGGATTTTCTTAGCACCTACGAATCACCCGTTTGAGAAAATAGGGTAAAAGTCAAGGTGAAAGACAGACTCCAATATCAAAGGTACTAAAAAGACGATACGACCTTATTAAAGAACTTGAGTGTAGCATAAACTGAGAAACTAGTCAAACTGAACGAGAAAAAGTTAAAGATAAAAGATACAGTTTAAGGTGTACTACGTCAATAAGGTCTAATAAAACCGGTTTGAACTTTACGATGTTTATGTGTATTCAAGACAGGAGTGAACCTGGGAAGATTATGAGAAAGATGTTTATAGGAGGGAAAGATGTCTATAGGAGGGAAAGATGTCTATAGGAGGGAAAGATGTTTAAAGGAGGGAAGATGTCTATAGGAGAGAAAGATGTTTAGGAGGGAAAGATGTCTATAGGAGAGAAAGATGTCTATAGGAGAAAGATGTTTTTAAGAGGGAAAGATGTCTATAGGAGGGAAAGATGTTTATAGGAGAGAAAGATGTCTATAGGAGGGAAAGATGTCTATAGGAGAGAAAGATGTTTATAGGAGGGAAAGATGTCTATAGGAGAGAAAGATGTCTATAAGAGAGAAAGACGTTTATAAGAGAGAAAGATGTCTATAGGAGAGAAAGATGTTTATTGGAGGGAAGATATCTATAGGAGAGAAAGATGTTTATAGGAGGGAAAGATGTCTATAGGAGAGAAAGATGTCTATAGGAGAGAAAGATGTCTATAGGAGAGAAAGACGTTTATAAGAGGGAAAGACGTCTATAGGAGGCAAAGATGTCACGCAAGAATCTATTTATATTCTGTTCTTGTCACGATGAATCAATATTTCTCCTCCAAGAAAAATCTCCAAGAACCTGTCTGATATTTACATACGCACATCACTAAAAGAAGCAGCCGAACCTATCAGATTTATCAATGATCCTCTTCAATAAAACAAAGGGTTGAAACTGGCAGATATTTTGCTTATCCTCTTTATTTTAAGAAGTAGTCAACCTTTCAGATTTTTCCCTTATCTTCTTTCGTATAAGGAGTCACATACATATTACTCCAGGCAGGACAGACTACCACTGAAGGCCCTGCCAGAAAGCGTTCATATATCTGACATGACTCACTGGGGAAGAATAGTATTGGCAGTAAGTGACGGGATGACGGAGCTCGAGTGGAGAGAAAAGGAAAATGTGGCTATCGGGACAAGGCGGAAAAGAAGGTAATGTTCGATAAAGATTTTGTGGATAGTGGGATAGAGTCAACAGCGGCAAGACCAGGAAGCAACACAGCGCTAGAAAATGTAATATGGAAGCAGTTTACTGAATTTCCTATAAAGCTTTCTATTTCACGTTGTTTTTACTACAGTACTTCTCCTCCGTAATGCCTCTCAGTATAATGAATAAACTATATTATTATCATGGTTCTAACTTTATATATTTGTCTAAGTTATTGTATGTGTATTTTTAGTTGGACACTCATCAACATAGGATGTCCCAGAAAACTGTCCCTGCCTCCTTCCCTCCCTCCCTCCAACTCATAGTGTCTCAGGAAGCAGGCAGGGAGGGAGGGAGGGAGGGAGGGAGGAGGAGGGAGGGAGGGAGGGAGGGAGGGAGGAGGAGGAGGGAGGGAGGAGGGAGGAGGGAGGCAGGGCAGGCAGGGAGGGAGGGAGGGAGGGAGGGACATTTTTCTGAGGACACGCTATATATAATGTGTATGTAGGCCTTGTAACACAGGCGTAATGGTAAATTTTTTTTCGGTTCATTATTAAATCAAATCTAAAAAAAAAAGAAAAAATGGAAATCTGATACATCCATCACTCTGCTGTACCAAATAGATCAGAACCAATTGAAAGATGAATCCCTCTCTCATGCATACACAATCAACTCATTTAGTATTAAGGAGAAAAATTCCTATTTCCTTCTATCCATAGTTTAAAACCAATTTTGATGTGTCATTTTTGGATTAAACTCAAGTTTTGGTTAAATGTTATTCTAAACCTCTTGAAAAAACATCAAAATAAACTTGAATGTTAAAATAAATAGAGTAGGAATATTAATGAAACCTCAAGACTGACGAGTAATTATAAGAAGTAAGACTGGAAGAATATGAAACCAAACAGATGACCTCTATTCAGGCTACAGTCGCTTAGCACACCATGGATAAGAATCTCAAAGGTTAAACTGTACTGTATAAAGTGGTTGTATTGTAGGCCCTACATTTAATAACCTCTATAATGTATGCAAATGGAAAGTTAAGAGTCCCAAGTAAAGTTTATAAAACGAGAAATGCGAAGATTGATGAAGTCTGAATACGTCTAGCTCACATGGAATACGGGAGGCGGGGGAAAAAATTGACACGAGTTGCGACTGGGAGTGAATGGAAGGCAGTGAATGGAATCGATTTCATTGGCCCACTACCCCTTGGATATGATGATGATAAAGAAATAAACGTGAGGAAATAAATCGTCTGGCGTAAGTGCAACGTAAGAAGGAACTAAAAAGAACTGATTGTTAAACCGAAAAACATGAGATTGTGTTTCATGTTAATGTGTATTTAGTTTCATAGTATATTTAGTTATTACTTGTATGTATTACTATGCATTTCACAAATGGTAAAAACACACTTGCTCTCTTACACCTGTTGTCACCTCCTCACCAAAGTCCCTCTCCTTACAGGTAAAACTCACAGACAGAAGAGAAAGAAAGCACTTGTCAGGTAAGAGGGTGAAGCACTTTTCGCTTCTGTTTATCTTGGCAGCTTTTACGTAGTGTTCCCTGAGACATGCACGTCCCTCAGACCTAGTGTGTGTGTGTGTGTGTGTGTGTGTGTGTGTGTGTGTGTGTGTGTGTGTGTGTGCTGCGCCGTGTTGTATGTGTGTGCCTAAGTATATATGTATGCTGTGCTTGAGCTTCTTTCGCTTGTCTTCTGCTACAGGATTATAATGTATGGTGTACTGTACTGTGTTTTTGGGGGAGCATGAACAAGATTTTCGTGTGTGTGTGTGCGTGTGTAAATGTTTAGATGCTTATGACTTTCATCTCCTCCATTAGTATGTGTTTGTGTACTCGTCAATAGCATTATATAACTCTCACAGCTAATGTCTTCTTCTTCTTCTCTTATATCACAGGTTTAAGCCCATGCCGGAGATTGATCTGGACACTGTAGTGGAGGAGAAGTCAGAGTTCGACGCCGAAGTGACAGCCTCGGACTTGTTGACAACCCCTGAGGAGCTTATCATCCCTGAGGAGCCGACACCCCCGGCCTCCTTCAGGGCCTACAGGTATATGGGCGCCGTACAGGCAACGATGACGTCACCCATCAAGACATCTCCATACAGGAATCCTCATACAGCCACCAACCTGGATAACGTCACTGAAGAAATGGAAGTTGTTGAAGATGTAACTCTGGATGTTAGTGATGATGAAGGACTCGACGCTTATGACGATGATGATGTGACTAATGGAAATGCTGTAGAACGTGAAGGTATTTCTGATGATAATGATGAGGGAGGCGAACAACCAGGCAGCGGCGGCAGCAGTGACAGTGATACAGTTGGAGCCTGCTTTTCGTTGTCACCCAAACAAGTGACAAAGTCGCCGACCGGGGTTCATTTAGCTCTGAAAAAACTCGACGGTGCAGTAAAAAGACGGCACTCGAGCCCCGTCAAAGTTAACTATGGTAAGAACAAAGGCCAGCGAGGCTCAGGGAAAGTTAACCACAGTTACACCAGCGAAGAAGAGAGCCCCCAGCCTGCCAGGGCGGGCTTTGACTACATTGACCGTGAACTGATGCCGGATATATCCCCCCGCACCCGCTCTCACTCTGTGAAGCACCCCAGCCGCCGGGCAGCGTCTTTCACCATCAAGAAGCGCCACGGGGAATCCTTGAAGCTCAGGAGCAAGAGTTTTTCAAGAAGTATTTCACACGTTCATGACGGCCATGACGGTAGGCCCAGAGTGCACCAAAGAAATGCTTACGGCGGTGACTCTGCCTCCACATCACAAATACAAAACGGTGTTCTTGAGTGTGATGTGCACGTTGTGGGTGAAAATGGTGCTCAGAAAAGCTCGAGTGGTGATCAGATTTACAGTGATGAAATCAGCACCAAGACCGTGTCCGACGCTGAAACTCTCTCCAGCGGGAACGAAACTGACTGGTCAGGGGCTTCTCGTAAACCCCGCGTCTCAGTACGCAGAAGTTACTCCTTGGTGGTGCGAGTAAAGAGAGACGACTCCGAGAGTCCCATGAGAAGAAGACCACAACGCTCGAGAACTGCATGTGGTGAAAGTGAGGCCCGAGAACTGTGCCAAGTGCCACCAATTATCTCGGAGGAGTCTCTCCTTCAGTGTCGCCAACCTGACTTGGTGGTGTCACCTCCTGCTAGCGCAGATTTAAGCGTTGTGAACGAACTGTCGCTCAAACACAGACAGGAAGACGGTGAGGCGGCGAGACACTGTCACAGGTGCCGGGAGGAGGTGGACAGGGACGACGAGCGCAGTACTCTCGTTTGATAATGTTCCGCCACATTTTTATACATGTAAATGCTTTGCAAGATATGTATTGCATCTTACGATATATTAATACTTCCAGCTGTATAAAGATCATGTTACTCGTGATCAAACTTTCACCTTAGATTTTACAATGTATCTTGGTGTTAACTGGGGGTATCTGGTGCTTCATAATGCCCAACTTTATTAGAAATAGCAAAGCAAAATATAAAAAATAATCTTCCACTATATAATGTAAATGGTTCCTAGTTTTATATGAAAAGTGACGATAAACGTGACGACTTTCTGGACGTTTTCACCTATATATGTTGTCTGTCAATTTTCTCAGCCGTCAACTTATTTCATTAACGCAAATAGACGATATTGAACAGAGTGTAATATTCAAGGTGGCCCTCACTCTTATCCTCACTACCAAGACCACTTATCAATTGGCTAATTACTTTATATCAGGTACCATTATAATTATTATGATACAATTACATCGCCCGACACCTGCCACACAGGTGTTGGGTGAGTCACGTGGATTCTCTCCATTCACGTAACCTAACCTAACCATTTCCTCCCCCACACCTCTTCTTTCCTACCTAAACCCCTCTCATACCCCCCCACTTTCTCCCTACCCGTAAGTAATGAATTAATTTCCTCTGACTTGCTGTGTGAAATAGGTAATGAATCCTTATTAAGAACAGGTATAGACGTTTCACAAAGACCTACAGGTTTACTAAGTCTATATGTGTGTCTTTATTAACGTCATATCCCAGCGTCTCTGTTAAAATGAATTCCATAACACCTAACATTGGGTCGTCGGATTATTTATTATGAATTTTGTTTTTAAGATATTTACTGAAATGTGGAATGACTCAATGGTCGGTGGAATGACTCAATGGTCGGTGAAATGACGCAATGGTAGGTGAAATGACTCAATGGTCGTCACTGTGAATTAAACTTAACAAATGGTCCTCCTCCTCATTCCCTTCCATTGAGGTAAAACTCTAATTAAAAAATTATTCCGTATAATAATAAAGTTACCCAACAAGGCAACAGTTTTACGATAAATTCCCAAGTTTTTAAGAAAGAGTAAAACTTAAACGATTCATTAAAAGTTACATGGTAAAAAATGTACTATACAAGTTATATGGCAGAGTAAAAAGTTACAATGTTGTGAAAAAAGACGCCTCATATCTGCATCATATTCTTCAGTCACATATTTCATGACTACAACAAACTTCAGTTCATACCGTGTTATTTTCCCAGAAACTCAGTCGCGTGTTGGAGATGCATCAGTATGGCTTATTAGAGGATGAACTGAGCAATGAATTATTTAAATAAGTTCAATCACGTACTTACTTCTTCACTATCCAAGCACGTTAACTGACTCATTAAAACGCTTGCAGATTATGAAGGCTACATCGTTCTAAGAATTCTTACCTGTGAGTGCTGGGATTCGAACAAGGGACCACCAGGGGTTGACGGGTAGGCAGCTCCATCCACTAAACCACAACGGGTTAAAAAAAGCTATCCATCCTTAGTTCCTCACTACACAGCCCAAGGTCTCATGCCTACAGGTGAAAAACACTTACATTAATTTACCTGCGTTACACTATAAATTAATTAGAATACATATACACCACTGTTCCTTAATTAAATATTTCACAAACAGAATTAATTATCTCCCCAATGGTGAATAAAATGGACTTAAACTTAAAAAAAAAAAATTATCTTGTCAGGTTGGAAGGATAGATTCCGCTTAGTTACGCCTTCTGAATCCTCCCTCATGCGGCCCTCCCTAGTATCTTCCTAAAAAAAAAGTCGTCAGTTGCCTTAATGAATAACTTATGTGTGTTGATAGTGTGGAATGAATGAACCTGTAATAATGAATCACCTCTCGGCTCTTATCATGATATCGGGACTTTTTTTTTTGTTTTTTTACATAATTGACACAAATACAGATATATATTTTCAATGTAGACTTTAAACATGTACATTCTAATTGTTAAAAGAAAATTATAACTAAACGATAACTAATATAAATCTTACCGACTTTACCCTATAAAAAGAACATTTATGGGAGTGTACAATTGTGTCTAAAAGATGAATTCCTCATTCTACATAAACTTCTCTGTAGGGACGTAGGTATCCAAGGCACTGCGAGCCCCAGCTGCCAAGGGTAATATTTTGGCCTTTAAGAAGTATTCCTAACGGCCCCAAAAAATAAAATTAAAATAAAAAAATAAATAAAAAATAAAAAATAAATAAAATAAAAAGGTTTACTTAATGGTCTTTAGCAAATTCGACCGTAAAAACATCTACAAACTTTCCTCTCTTTGTTGACACAGTGAGAAATATCTACTCTGCTTGCTCATTCTATATTCAGGCATAAAATAGCTTCATTAGCACCGAAATGTCTTGGGGAAAACTTAGATGAACCGAACTACTGGTAGGGGCAGTGGGGCACGACACAGGGAGGAGACTGTCACAGAAGGTGCCCAGTGCATCATGGTTGTAATTAGCTCACTAAGGTTGTGCTCAGTGCATCATGGTTGTAATTAGCTCACTAAGGTTGTGCTCAGTGCATCATGGTTGTAATTAGCTCACTAAGGTTGTGCTCAGTGCATCATGGTTGTAATTAGCTCACTAAGGTTGTGCTCAGTGCATCATGGTTGTAATTAGCTCACTAAGGTTGTGCTCAGTGCATCATGGTTGTAATTAGCTCACTAAGGTTGTGCTCAGTGCATCATGGTTGTAATTAGCTCACTAAGGTTGTGCTCAGTGCATCATAGTTGTAATTAGCTCACTGACCTAAATAGGAAATTTTTTAATCATTGGTTATACCCAAAAAACAACCTTTCATTCATTAAGGAGTAGATTACTGTGATTACAAACAGAATAAATAAATAATAAGACACAGATAACGACATATAAGGCTTAACATATGGAATACTTCTCAAAGACCTCCCTAATGAGATTTATAATCCATTCAGTGCAAAAACAAACTAAACCGTGTACTCTGACGCGGGGTTCAACAGCGTTCATTTGTAGGTGTTGATGCGACTCACCATGACCACTGTTGAAGCCTGACGCGACAGAGAACCTACACCTTGTTGTTACTGGCTTGTGTAGTACAGTATTATTTGTGTATATTTCTTATTGCTAAATTTAAGTGAATTGTCTGTGTAAAAAAAAAATAATAATAATAAAAAATCCATTGTTTACGGTATATGTTTGTATAATATATTCACAGGTACATTTGAAGGGCATGTGTAATAAGAATTATCAGGATTAAAATATGAAATAAGTACAGTTTCTTTTCATTTATTTTAGATTATTTTCCTTATATGTGAAGCAAGTAAGAGTAGAGGTTATTGTTAAGTTAGGGCTTATGACACGTGCAAAATAAGAGAGAACGAGAGGGAGAGAGGAGTAACAGAGGCAGCGGGAGTGAGAGAGAGAGAGAGAGGAGTAGAGAGACATGGAGAGGAGAATTTGGGAGAGAGAGAGAGGGAGAGGAGTAACAGAGACAGAGGGGAGAGAGAATAACAGAACATGGAGAAGAGTAAGGAGAGAGACAGGGAGAAGAGTAACAGAGACAGAGAGAGAGAGGTAACGGAGAGACAGAGGAGAGAGAGGAATAACAGAGACATGGAGAGGAGTAACGGAGAGAGAGAGAGAGAGAGAGGAGTAACAGAGACAGAGGGAGAGAGAGGTAACAGAGACAGAGGGAGAGAGAGGAATAACAGAGACATGGAGAAGAGTAACGAAGAGAGACAGGAGAGAAGAGAGAGAGAGAGAGAGAGGAATAACAGAGACAAGGAGAGGAGTAACAAAGAGAGACAGGGAGAAGAGTAACAGAGACAGAGGGAGAGCGAGGTAACAGACAGAGGGAGAGAGAGAGAGGAATAACAGAGACATGGAGAAGAGTAACAGAGACAGAGAGAGAGACGAGTAAGAGGGAGACAAAGGTATGGGAGAGAGGTGCTAACCTAACCTAACCCACAATTACCTACCCTAACTACACCTGACAACCTGTAATGTTAACTACCATAGTGAGCAGAGTATTACGTTGTGTTCTTACAGTATGTCAGAATACAGACAATTTATACGCAACATCTGATACAATAGTTAGAAAATATTGTACAGAAAACTACAACATTTACTAAGTTAAGCTGTCACTCCTAATACACTGAGCATATTTTATCATTTCACTGCTATTTAGACTGAGGATAAAGACTTGTTAAAGGATAAGTGAGAATACCTAAGTGGTAAATATATCTCATAGTATCTCCAGTTAATAATAAATAATAATGATATCTTGTCATTCTAGTTTCTCATCTATACAAGTTGTTTCCCATTACTGATGCCTGGGTAAACTCTGGGCGTGTTTAAGTTCTCGTGTAAGTATGTCAACATTATGTTATGAAAAGAACACATAAAGGAATCTTAAAATTTTTAAATGCATTGCAGAAACCTCTTGGAAAAGTATTCATATTTACAAAGGTTTATTGTAAAAATATCCAGAGAGAGAGAGAGAGAGAGAGAGAGAGAGAGAGAGAGAGAGAGAGAGAGAGAGAGAAAAAAAATACCTGTACTAACTCAAGTGTATTGCTAAATCATCCTACATTAAATTTTTTTAATAATCGTATGTTAATGTAATTTTTTAATTACCTAACCTACCCTAACCTAAGTTAACCAAACATAACCTAACCAACAGCGTATATGTGGACAAGTAATTCATATATTTTTGTTTCTGTCATGTCTTCTTATCTGTGTATTAGAAATGAGAGACATGACCATAATTGATTCAGTCATGACTTCGATAAAATTTTACAACCTGCCGATATCAAGACCCACCTGAAGTTATCTTAATTAAATCTTAGTCGAAGTCTCCGTAGGGCGCCGCCTTTTAAGATAATAATACCGTGGATGTTGCTGATTACTTTTACTACACGTTTGAGTTTAGGTTTGAGTTTAAGGTATGTCATATTTTCTGGGGTTTAATGTTAGTTTTTTTTATATATAATGAATCTCCATCAGTATATGAGAGGTGTGTGTGTGTGTGTGTGTGTGTGTGTGTGTGTGTGTGTGTGTGTGTGTGTGTGTGTATGTGTGTGTGTGTGTGTTTAAGATTTTTATAATAGATCTGTTAATTCCTCGTCCTCAATTTAAACTAATTCAAACTTTTGTTTCCAGGTGGCGGAGTGTTTATCGTACCAACCTGACCGTCTACTATTGATTCCAGGTTCGAGTCCATATTGAGATCATAGCATGCGATCATGAGCCAGTGCTGGAGACGTTGTGGGAAAACTTACAAAAACACGAACACCATGCAAAGAAAATCACTCCACTACATGAGCCGAAATTGCATGTGATTGTGGCTATACTGAAATAGAATCTGGGATCGAAAATAACAATTGGAAACCGATAATTCATTTCTCCTCAAGTGATACACTATTGAAGAACACCACAAAACCATTAACAAGGACACCTGCAAACTATTTCACACCTGAGACAACACTAACACACATACACAGGTAGGGCTCAGAAAGGTATCATATCTGGTTAGCAAGGAAGGCGTCCCTATATCAAAGACTGTGCAAGAGATTGAAAGAGAATCTCAAACTAATTCTTGAAGGTCATATGAAAAAGAAAAATTACAGCTGTTTACAAATAATAAATAAAGACTTGAATTTCATACACTGGCACCAAGAGGTAACATTACCTGCCATGATCTCAAGAGGTTCCCAGAAAGACTAAAAGTTTCAACCTTGATGGAGAAGTCATATTAAAACCCAGCTTCGTTAGATTCCTTATTTAATATATCAATAGACAGAGAGCAGAGAGAGAAACCCTCCCAACCAAACCAATCAAAATTAATCCAGGGAAATCCTAGAGTCTCAGTATTTTTGGAGTATTTTTCGAAACAAATAAATTGGGAGCCAGACAAGGGTATTTGTTCATTCGTCTGATATAATCCTCAGCGTTGTGTTCTACCCTGTAAGTCTATATGCTTCTTATCTATAATCTATGTTACCTATCATTAACTACAACACATTTCCACAAAGGTATTTCGTTATATCCATGATGCCAGGTGTAATGTTGGTCGATTACGTTATAAAGTGTAATCTAATGATATCGTTGGTTTAAATGACTATACTTGGGTGCTGTTTGATTGATAGTCTTGTCAGTGTACAGTATATGTGTATCACAGACGCACGTCTTAGTCATCCTTATTCATCACGAGTCATTGGTCATTGTGATACCAGACGCCAACATAGATTTATATCATGTTTACTTAACACTTATAGTACAATCTTAAGAAACAACTAACTTGGCAAATTGAGTTACTTATTTGTTGACTTTCAGGTTAGAATAAATAAATCGTATCCAAAAGAACATTGAAAATTCAGAAGTGACTTGATACCATTATTAAGTCAAGCTGATAATACAAATACGAACGTGTTGGTCAACCGCTGAGAGCCTTGTACATGCAATAGTGTTTCCCCCAAAGGGAAATATTACTGCTTATGGCTGAAGCATCGTCTATTAACTCTCTGAAATTAACCTGTATTTTAATATTACCATACATACAATATCAAAACAGTAAAAATTAGATATCAGGATAAGTACTGTACTTGGTCTGTATAAAGAACGACATTAAAAAAAACACACACATTTATGATCTATACGTCTATCAATGTTTTGGCTTCTACTCCTGTCCTTTCATATTTTCACCTACATTCTTCACATAGTTTCAAATCCCATCTCGTTCTCTGGCATCTCAAATTTCTTGCTCAAAATCCACGCACAATTTCCATTGCTCTCTCTCTCTCTCTCTTTCTCTCTCTCTTCCAGCACTAAAGTTAACTCACTCACAGTTCCCCTTGTTACAGATTTTCTCTCGTCTTTTGTCCTTCGGGATTTTTTTTTATTTACACTCTCATAATATTCTCTTTAATACTATAAAAAAGTTATTCAAGTTGAGAAGTGTGTATGTGTGTGTGTGTGTGTGTGTATGTGTGTGTGTGTGTATGTGTGTGTGTGTGTGTGTGTATGTGTGTGTGTGTGTGTGTGTATTCGTTCCTTGAGGCAGTACCACACCTCAAGTTCCTGTGACCATTAATTTCTTGTGGTGTCTGACACAGAGACCATTATAAGAGGTGACACAGTGTTATGACCTACTTCATGAGTCTCTGGTCACCACTCGACTACACCGAAGACCCATCTACTGGAGGCTGTTTCCACCACGTTAAATGACCTTTATTGTTCTCTTTATATCATGTTTAGTACCATGTTGATATAGGAACCATTGACTGTAATACTAAAGAAGTCGTATAAAATCTACCTGTACAGTATATAAGGGATAGTTTTTATCATTATTAATACCATTATAATTATATGCTGGGACATCAACCATTAGTACCTCTGCATTTGCTTTAAACCTTAAAAAATTATATCACATTTACTCAGAGGGAAGAGGGAGGAGGGAGAGACGGAAAAGAAGGCGGGATTGGAAGAGGGAGATAGTGGAAGGGAGTTGCAAGTGACTGTATGAAAGATTGATAGTGTGCAGGAGCGACAGTGACCCAGTGGAGTGAGCCGGAGGGAGAGAAATGCCTAACCTCACAAACTCAAAGAGGGTAACAAAGAGACAGAGAGAGGGGAGGGAAGAAAACGAGAGAAAACGACAAGAAAGAGGGTGAAAAGTAGGGAACAAGAGAAAAACGAGAACAAGAGAGTGCCATAATAAGAGATGGTTCACTAGGAAGAGTCACCAAGAGAATCCCCCGAAGCTGCGCGTCGTGTTCGGTGGCGCGTGAGGCTTTTGTCGTCTATTCCCCGCTTGTGTATACCTAAGAGGAAGTACTGTTTTGTCTAGTTGCTATTATGTGTTAGATAAGAGTACTATTAGTCACCGATATAATGATGCTGGATGTGTGATGTAAGAGTCTTCCCCTAACAATAATGTTGAGAAGTTATATATAATTTCTTATATCAAACTATAGGCTCTTTGACTTTTTTTGCAGTATAAAGGACATTGTTTATGGAGGGAGTTCCTATATCCATAATTTAGTGGTATATTATTCAGCAAAGTCAACAACCACAAAGGGTACATTACTTTCTCAACATTAATTTCATTTCATTACAGTAAGACAATAAACAGGTCCAGATTATAAATAGCAATATCTGTCCTTACAATTGTTAAAATCTCAAGAAGCTTCCAATAGGATAACTCCAAAAACTGATCTTAATATTTGAATGTAATTGTTCAGACAGTCGAATAACTTGTACTCAACCTCGAAC